TAGCGAATTTCGACGTGGTCTGATTGGTTTGGTTATTGTTTCGCTAGTATTACAACTGCAGCTGTACTTGCTGTTCTATATACCGTTGCCAACACTTACCAACCACTGCCTGAAGATGTTTATCGCTACGGTACTGATTTTTTCCAATTTATTTCTTTATCCTAGAACGAAAACACAAACACAAACACACTCGTAAATTTTCTTCTTGTTGGATTGTCGTTCACCCTGCTCACTGTTAATTGCTTCAATGCAAAGCGGTGGCAAAGGGTACCCGTTGTAACATTATTTTGGTAAGTGTCTCAATGAGATAACTCTTGTTGTAGCTTATATATAGAATGTGTGATTTGTTGAGTTGCAATGAATAGTAATCTGTATTTCTTCCATTAACATATAGTTGCGAAATTTAGATTTGAAAGCTCATCGTTGCCAGATTCTGGTTTGTCAAAGCCTATATCTAGACTGTGGCCAATTGAGTTAATTAATTAGCTATTACCATTTCTGATAAAGAGATAATGAGCTTTTACCGTTTCAGATTTGAAGGAACCTTTCAATCTACAGAAGGGATGGCTATTGTGGGCAGGGATTGGTTTTGTTGGTGCCATAGCTGCTATTGCAGTGACAGGGGCTGCATTGTCCATGTTGAGGGGGGAGAGCCCAGAACGAGAGGTTTGAATTATTCAAATTTATCTTATTATCTCTTTATCTATAGGATGCAATGGACACTGGATTGAATTAATAAGCAAATTATTTGTTTTAATTATAATTTTAACATGACTATATGTTTTATTCATATTGACATGATTTCAGAAGGACGCTCTAGTAAGTTTGCTTCCACTGATTGGATCGTCCGGTATTAGGTACTTTAGAAGGTCTTTTCTTTTTCATCACTAGAACTTGAGGATTAAGCAAGTTGATTAAGCTCTTGTTAATGTTGGTTGCAGTACTGCTTGCTTGCTAGGCATCACTGGAGTTTTGGCTCCAATTCTCGAAGAAACTGTGTTTCGCGGGTTTTTTATGGTCTCCATGACTAAATGGTATACTTCCCTTTTTCTCTGTTTAATAGAGTTGCATAATATGCCTAAAATGATTGAGTATTTCTATCTAAATTTCTCTAATAAACGTGCACAGTTCTTCCTCTAAGCTTGCCTGCAATTGTTTATAAATATTCCCAGTAATTACTACCCGTAGAATTGGTTATAAGTTTTGGAAAATTGAGGGCTAGTTTAACTAGGAAGTTGCCATCCAGACAGTGTGATTTGGTTCACTCCTAAAACTTATTTTCTGAGTTAATCAACCAGAATCGGATATTTCTACTAACAAGAGCAAAGCTGGAATAGTGTAGAGGATAAGAAATATATGGTAGAAGAAACTGCTTTTGAGGTACTTATGTAGGAGAATGGCAGAATCATACAAAATTTTTACATAAGGTTTCGGAGAGGTGGCTGAGCATGGGTTTAAAACTTTTTAGTTTCACTTGTTTTAGTATTGTTGCATTTGTTGGTGTCAAGTGTTCATCCCTGAGTATCTTATTGCCGTTGAAAATGTGTTTTGCAGGGTACCTACACCAGTGGCTATTGTAATAAGTGCCGCTGTATTTGCACTTGCACATCTCACTCCTGGAGAGTTTCCCCAGCTGTTTGTGCTAGGTAGCATGTCTACCAAAGTAATCAAATCAAATTTGTGCATCACCTCAGGCGCACATTAATGTGCTTTAGGTTTCATCAAACACATTTTTATCTCATTTACTTTATGGTCTGTATAGGCACTGCTCTGGGATTGTCGTATGCTCAAACTCGCAACCTTGTAACTCCCATCACAATACATGCTCTCTGGAACTCAGGAGTGATCTTGCTTCTGACGTTCCTTCAGGTAAACAAGATTTCGGAGTATGTAAGTTATGGTTATAGATGAGTCCGAATTCCGAAGCTGAAGGGTAAGCATCAAGTACTCTTTCTCATTGCTAAAACCAATCTTCTTGTTTATGTGACAGCTACAAGGGTACGATATCAAGGAACTGTTGCAGACAACCTGATAGGATAGTAGTTGAGTATATATTACGTTGATGGTAATCGACACAGAGGATTGCTGCAACGGGTGCACAATGTTAGAAGACGGCCTGCAAGGCTTGCTTAAATGTCGCCAAAAATCAGGATCTTTAATCTTTTTGGTGCTTGTTCCAGATCAATAGGCAAAAGTTAATATGTATTAGAGGCATTAAACCTACTTTCGGCTCTACCAGTGGAGACACACAACATACAAACAATGTACTGTGGGATCGCTTTCGTATGTACCGTATAGTGTATTACTTTTGTTTGAGTAAGTTCTCTTTTTTGGTTTGGTTGTTGACTAAGTTCCAAGGAAGACGTACAAACAAAAGAGAAAATAATAAGAAAATAAAGAAAGAAAATATTATGATATAAGTAGTATTGTTGTATTCCAAGATGTCATTGGCCCTTGTTTCTCACTTGTTTGTTGACAAAAATGTACGTACAACCTTCTTAATTGGAAAAGGTTATGCAATGGTCGTGGGCACATTGGCTAGAACGAATGTGTTCATCCTATACATTTGAATTTGAATATCCTTCCTCTTAGATTAGAGTAGCTTAAGTAGAGTATTGTATCAATCCCAGATAGAAATTGAGATACTTTAGTCCTAAAATTCCGATTTAACTAATTATTTCCTCTTAATTAAGAAAGAGGGTCACCTTCATCAGTTCACACAGTGACACAAGTTAACATAATCTAGGCAAAGATTAGGATTTAAGTGATGTAATTATGAGATACATAATTTTTTTTGGGAATTGCTATTAGCACTCAAAAAATCTCATTTTGCACTCCAAACTTTATATAATTAGAAAGAAAAATACACTCGTGAAGAGTATAGAAAGAAAAATACATTGTGAGGAGTGTAAAATGAGATTTTTGAAGTGTTAATAACAATTTTTTTTATTTATTTTTTATACAAATGATATTAAAGGAGAGCTTGAACACATAATTTTTCGAGAACATAGATAGACCTCTTAATCATTTCAATTATAAGCTGATAGTGAATATTAATGAATATTGGGCAGCAATTGTTTACAAGTGAGTGCGGTTGGTAAAATTCATAAACCTTGTTAAGTGGAGTGTTAGGTTGGCCCTTTGCAAATATACATGGTAGAGTTAATGAATGGTTGAAATGGAAGGGTGTGGGGGGTTAATAATGTTTCACGTAGAAAGAGGCGTATAGACGCTTGGAGTTGAAGAGTTTGACCCTTTTTTTAAAAGACTTTGGTTGCACGCTTGGGGAAGTAATTCTAGGTCAATCAACAGACAAAATGGGTTCCAACCGAGGGTAAGAAATTTGGGGAGTTTCACTGACTTTGGAGTCCCCAAGTTTTTGCATTTGACTCTGTGAAAACCCTAATTTATCACCATTGAATAATTGATTACTACAGTACTTCACTTGCCCACCAGCACAGCACAGTAGGCCTTGTTTGTAAGCAAACTCAAGTACTGTATGACCAACTGGACTTTGAACTAATTAATATTTGTTTGAAAAAAAGAGCTTTGAATCACTTAATACTACTGTCTAGTGCTTATTTCTTATTTATGACACATTATTTGATTTGTAAATATAGTTTTACATTTTGATCTCCCTAACATTATCCATTAACAAAATGAAGAATGCATGGATTTTAAACTGTAATTTAACTTATTCATTGTTGTTGGAAAAATGAAACCTTTTTGGTTTTGCAGAAGACAAGGAATTGAGGAATCCCACACTTGGTTTTTCCAAAGTCTACAAAATCAGATAAACTTTTACTCATCTTAAAAGACTTAAATGTACGTTAAAACCCCATAGCTCTCTTTCCCCACCCATATATGCTTATAACGACACAACAAGCAATCGTAAGATATGATTTTCATGAAATGCTTAGCAAGTTAATATTCATTGTAACTGGTCTAGTGACATTTAGTTTTGACTTTGTGATGAAGTTCAGAATTTAAAATAATAAAAAAATATTAAGGAGACTCTCACTAGTGGGGACTTTTCATAGACTATCTGTCATCTCATATTTTTGACAAAATATTTTATAACGTTGACATGAGAATTTGCGTTAAACTGTGAAGTGATAGAGAATCTCACTTTTAAGAGAGTCTTCTTAGCATTTCTTTTAAAAAAATGACATTGTGAAGTAATAAACAAGGTGGCCGATTACACTAATAACAAGACTTGAATGTGACAATTTTTTTTTCTTCCAGTCACTTATTAATCATGCAGTTGGTTGTATTTTTCGCAAGTGGCCTTTACCACAGTGGTGAAAGGTGTTGAGCTCTTGCATGTTGCCATGAGTTCAAACCCCATCGGTGACTAATTTATCAACAATCTAACAAAATCTATCGTTTGACAAAAAAAAATGTATAACTTATATTTTTCATCATATATAACCATAAGATCTATTGCAAGTGTTTGTAGCTCAATTGGTTAATAGCATTCGCCCTTGCACCGAAGGTCCCATGTTCGAAAACCTTCCCTATATCGTTTGTAGAAAAAAAAGAGGAAGTCATAAAACCTATTGTTGAGGTATATACAATGTCTCTTAAAAAAAATCCAAATACAATCAACACATGGACACTTAGTATGCATAGTCAATTGAAATTTCATCACTAGGTAAGCAAATCCTATCTACATCACCTCCGCAATAGGTATCAAAACCTATATATCCACATTACATATACTTTTAATATCAACCTCATCCACATACCTACACATTGGGTGACACACCCCGACCCTAAAATTAGGGCGTGACATGCTAGAGTGAGTTTAAGTGTGAAACACACATAATCAGAACAACATAAAACTCACTTGTGTGTGTTAGTTGGATATTATTGCTAGTAGTTGGTTTTTATTCCTTCGTATTTCTTTTACCTTTTTGCTTCCGCGTCGCACTTTTGGTTACGTCACACCCCCGTGACGGCCAGCACATCCTGATTTTAGGGTTGGGGTGTGTCATTGGTATCACACCAATCTACATTACTAATATATAAGACTCAAATCTATTGATTTTAAGCTAAAAATCAATTTGTACCACATAAATAACATTAAATTAAAAAAGTATTGTTGACAAATAAAAACTGTAGAGGGTAAAGCAGGCATGAAACAAAATCTTAGATGAGAACTCTAAGCTATTAATTGACCTCATTATCACAATTTGATATGTTTTTTAACATGAAAAAAATAGTCAAAAGATGTGTGGGTTTTTCCTAAAATATTCTAATGCAATTGGGTTGAAATCTACTTTTCTATAGTTTTCATCATATATAATCATGAATTTATATAACTATAGTGACACAAACTTAAACATGCATTACAGCACAGAAAATTAGAAAAGAAAAAATTGAGGGGAACACGGGCACGAAGTTGTATATTTAACAAATAACCATCAACAAAATCATTGAGGGTTAGCTTTCCTAATACCTGTAAAAACTATGGTAATTAATTTGAAATTTCCAGATAAGATGAGTAAATACTAATTAATAACTTAATTAAGCCTCTGACTCTGATCAGTTTCTGAAAGATAGGTGGAACGATTCTCCTGAAAGGTCAAACACATAATTTCACCATATCATGTAAAACGTAACCTGTATTGTGTATTCTATCCAGGGCAAGTGGTCCATATTGACTAGATTTGGAGGGTAATAGCCAGCTGATTAACCTGCAGATGAGTGAGATAATGACGCTAAAATTATTAAACCTATTGAACCTGACAAAGTCAGTGGAATAGAAGCTCTGGGAATGGAATAGAAACGGGAATTTCGGATTCTGAGAAACTAATATAATATCACTAATTATAATGATGGGATCCTAATAAGTCCTCTCATAGGAATTCAAGTTCTAAAATATTGATACTGTTTGAGCTTTGTCTTGGAGGTTGGCTCAGGTCCACGTTTCCAAACACCATTTCAAACACCTCAACTTTAAAAACTAGTACTTGCTTGGAAATTTTCCTTGTCTTGATTTGTAGTGGAGAGACCAAAACTTAATTATTACTAATAAACAATCTTTTATAGATTAAACTTAATTAAGTTGGTCAGACTAGTGTGTTTTTTCAAGCTCAAATCTCTGGTTCTAATAGTTGAGGTGAAGATCAGGGCTAGTCAAGTTCTCTATAGTAGTGTGCTCATCCCTGTATAGAATTTCGAATGCTCATTTCCGTAGTTTAGATGAATTATGAATAAAACGCTTGTATTAAAAAACATATATATTTAAGAAATATTAATTAATAAAAAAGGATTCATAATCCCTATAAGCTGGTGCTGATAGTGGTGGGTTTCCTTGAGATTCCAATACTTGGATTAATAAACAAAACCCTAAATTGGGTTCATTAAGGTCCAAGTTAGAAATAAGGGTCTTCTTATGGAAATCTATTTTCTTGACTTCAGCTTTAATTTTTTTCTTGGTAGGTGTAATTTTAATTTGATTTTGATTTCAATATTTAAGAGCTCCCTTCTAATTAATTTCTATCTGTACTACTGTCTGAGAGTGTGAAGTAGCCAACGTGATCTTCGCAAAACACACAGACTCATATATATTAAGTCACCAGAAAAGGCGGCTGATCCTTCGGAGGCAGAACCCTCCTCAGGAAGCATATATTTTCCCTACAAATTAACTCCAAACCCTCACCGCCATCTTAAACTCGTTGCTTTCACTCCACCTCTTCACTTCTTCTTCTTCGTTCTCGTTCTGTGTGTTCATCTTTTCTAGCTACAGCTAGGGTTTGCGTCTTACTGCAGTTTCGGGCATATTCAGGTGTTATATATGCACACAGTAGCACTGTAATTAACATTAACACTAATTTCTTCAGTTTCTCACTGTTGGGTAACTTTAAATAGTTAGTGAGAAGCAGCATATACCTACCAGTACTTTAGTTCTTTGTAGAAAAAAATGGATGAGAGAAGTGATAATATTGAAGGAGAAAAAATGGATGAAGTGATGCTGCCAGGGTTTCGTTTTCATCCAACTGATGAGGAGCTGGTAGGGTTTTATCTCAAGAGGAAGGTTCAGCAGAGGCCCCTCTCTATTGAGCTCATCAAGCAACTCGACATCTATAAATTTGACCCCTGGGATCTTCCGAGTAATTTTTCAAAACATAATCTTACATATTCATGCATGACTAAAAGGACTTCCATCTCCGTGTAATATTATATAGCATCTTTTTCTCTCTTATGTGTTCTTTGATATGCCCACTATTTACCACTACTACATAGAAGTTTTGAACCTAAATCTGTTATATATGTTTGTGTGTATGTAATCTGTGTTTTAAGGTTAGGGTTGCACTTTCTAATTTGTTCAAAATATACAAGGGCTTTAGTTGCATCTGTTTTGAACGGCTTAGCTATAAACTTTTTAACTTACTTTTTTGCATGATATGTGTAGAGTTGGCAGCTTCTGGGGAGAAAGAGTGGTATTTCTACTGTCCAAGGGACAGAAAATACAGAAACAGCACAAGGCCTAACAGGGTTACCGGAGCCGGGTTCTGGAAAGCAACAGGAACCGACCGTCCCATCTATTCATCCGAAGATGCATGTAGTTCCTCCAAGTGTATTGGGTTGAAGAAGTCTCTTGTTTTCTACAAAGGTAGAGCTGCCAAAGGGGTCAAAACCGACTGGATGATGCATGAGTTTCGTTTACCTTCTCTCACGGATTCACTCCCACCAAAGAGATCATCATCGTTCATGGACAAAACTATTCCTGCAAATGTATGCCAAAAAAAAAAAAACTATTTTTCTATATATGCATCGCTATTTTCACATAATATCTAATTGTTATATTGTTAAACTGTCAATCTGTTGTCAAACTTGTGAGACTAGTTGACAAAAACATTTCCGATGCTAATATTTATATATACACGTGCAGGATTCATGGGCAATATGCAGGATATTTAAGAAAACAAATTCAAGTAATGCTCACCAAAGAGCCCTTTCTAATCACTCTTGGGTGTCTGCCTTGCCTGAAACAAACACTTTTGGTGATCATATGTTAGGCTCCAAAGGTGCACACAATACAACTCATCAACATCATGAGTTTAGTTCAGAGAGCCTGACATCAAAAACCAACTTCTCTGGCAACAACAATGACATACAAATCTCATCCACAACAAGCAATATATCCCCTCTAGATATTTATCCCAACTCCTACAAACCCGTAAACCCCCTGATGATGGGTTGCAATGTCAAACTACCCTATCAGTACTTTCCCATTTCCTCCAATTTTCCCAGTGGATCATCAGATTACTTTTCTAACCCTAGCTTCACATTTCCATCACCTCTAGAAACTTCATCCGGACCAGCAGCTGAAAAATGCACGGTGGATGTGTCCTCCTTCTTGTTAAACATGTCATCCTCGATGGTTGGAGATTACAATGGCAGCAACAACGTCAAGGGCTCCTCTGCAGAGAGTACTAATTTTGACTTTAGTACTAACGGAGGCTTTTCGTCGACGGCATTGCCACATCATCATGAGATCATGCAAGGAAGTAATAATAACCTTGGCAATGTTTATGACAATATAGCTGGGTTGATTAAAAACATTCAAAATGTGAACTCGAACGTGACAGAAGAAAGAGACGATCATCAGTGGGAGACAAGTGCGAGATCAAATATTGGGTTTCCATTGATGAGTAGTTTGCCTTTGCCTATGGATGTAGGAGGAGGGGATGCATGGAAGTCGAGTTTGACGTGGGAGTCTTCGCCATGTCCGACTGAAATGTCCACAACCAGATGCTATACTTAAACTTGTCACATAATTAGAAACATTGCATAATTACTAATGTTTCTTAGCTTATTAGGTTGTGTCAGCTATAGGCTATAGCTCATTATTTAATTAAGTTTCGTGTTTGTAGAATTCTTTTTGCTAATTAAGCCCCAAAGGGTATGATTAAGGAAATAGAAGGCTGATCAGGTTTGACATGTTTGGGGTCCTCTATCAAATTAACTAAGTCATGTCCTCAGACTCGAGAGACCTAAAAACATTAATCAACATGTTTTGTTTTTTGTGTCCAAAACAAAAACGTGGATGTTGGATGAAAGCTTTATATATGTACTAAGCATTGGATCATATTTGAACCCAAAAACAAAAACAAAAAACAAAAAATTGGATTAGGATTTGCAATGAACATAGGCGGGATAGTTAACGAGAAAGTTTGTAAGTGGCTTGTAACTCAGTTGATTAAGAGTATTTGCCTCTGCATTTGAGATCCAGTGTTCGAATCTCCCTTCTTGTAGTTTAATGTAAATAATCCTACTCTTTGTAAAAAAAACAGTCGAAGCTTTGGTTTTGTTTGTCTCTTTATAATTACCTTTTTGGTACATGGGGCTGACAAGAACCAAAGGAGCAGGTACTTTCAATTGGATTCGGAGCCGAAATATTCATGAGAGTCGTTAGAATACGGAGAGAGCAAAATGCGAAGCTGAGATAGGCCCATTTAGATATTAGTCTATATCCAAGAGAATTTTACCAAAACAAATTCAGGGAAACTTTTTTTTATCCAATTGTATCATTCAAAACATAAAAAAGACCAAAATTTTCTATAACTCTTCCAAGTTTAGAGAGAGAGAGAGAGAGAGAGAGAGAGAATCACTGCGGCTATCCTACAATCATGTCCACAAAAGGGTTCCTGTTCTTATTCATGAGAGCAACCCGATCACCGTGATCACCTCCTAGTCACTCCGTCATCCTCCAGTACATTGATGAAAAGGGGTTCCTGCTCTTTTTTACTGCGTGATCATGATCATGATCATGATCTGTCATACTTATGAGTCATATTTAATCACTTCAAACAGTTGGGAACCGTAGGATGTTAAAGGTAGGACGAACTAAGAAAGCCTCACTTTTTAAAGAAAGACGGGACATCCTGCACAAAGAAATTTCTTCACTGCGAATCCTAATTGCTGACTACAAACAAGTGATTCTGATATCGATCAGATCATACCACGAATCCTGTTTTTCCATGAGGCCCGAAGACCCTGGCACTTTTGTCTTGGGTGAATGACCTCAAAGACCGTCCTCCGTTCAAGGAGACACTCCCGCCTAACGACAAATATGTCGTCAGGCTGAAGCGCTTTTCAGCTTGATCTTGTGTGCTCGAGGGAGACGTAGAAAAACCCTTGTTGTATTAGACTGCGAATACTTTCACTTCATGACAGAAGCTAGGTGGTCATTTACTGTTTCCCTTGAAAAATTGCACTTCTATGTCCCCTGGGGCAAGATGAAACATGTAGAGTTCCCACCATTCACAAGCAGAAACATGTAAAAACCGTGACATAACTACAATCGCAAATAAAGCTAGTAATCTGACACTACACAAATAACTCCAAAGCGTATATGTTACCACTGAAATACAAAACAGGAAATTCCATGGTAGGATGCACTTCTGAAGAAAATGTACTTAACATCATAACTTAAACCATCCACAACAAAATATAAAAGTACAAATTGGAACACCTCGAATTAGATCCCATAGCTCACCATAAGCCAAAATCAGCGTAGTCTGAAGCTACTTAAAACTCGGTTGAGTTTCATTTGGTCTTTGAAGCTTGCTTTTCCTTTGCCTTCTGGATCTTCAACACTTTTTTCACAATCTTCTGTTCCTCCACCAGAAAGGCCCTGATGATCCTGCAAACCAATAGAAAGCAACTTGCCTAAATCCCATCAGTGCAACATAACATGAAAAGAAGAAGAAAACGTCGTAATGAAATCAATACACGAACCTTTCTTTGACAGCACCTCCAGACAATACACCTCCATAAGCTCGGTTAACAGTCCTCCGATTCCTAGATAATCTGGACCTCTTATACTCAGTAGGCCTCAAGTGAGGGATCTACAAACAATGACAACAATGTATCGCCACTCAGAACAAACTTAAAGTAACTGGACTACGCAATCATTATGCACAATATTGTTTTGCAAACAGAATATATAAGTTCAAGGGTACTTTTTACTTTGAGCTTCGAGAGAAGGTCAAATTCACGAGAACTTGAACCGTTCCCTCTCCACACACAATGGTGAACTGAGCATGATATTGATAATTCTAGCACAAATTATATGAATCCAATTACACGAGGGTAGATCAACAGTTTCATAGATAGTAGCTCCAACTCTAATGCATAACCTACCAATAAACTGGGATTATTGTTGCGGCATATCTCTAAGTAAAAGAATTAAACTCTCACTCATTTGCAAATGCAAAACACTGTGAACCCACAAAAAGACTACGGATACGAAACTAACAACGAAATCCTATTAAATCAACAGAATATGTGAAAACAGAACCATCATTTCGAAATTAAATAAGGCAAATAAATACCCCTTGAATCCTCTTGCCGGTAACAGGGCACTTGGGCCCGCTTGCCCTCTTCTTAGTGGTCTGGTAAACTAGCTTCCCTCCTGTTCACCCAAAACAATCATCAATAACAGCACCAGAACTTCAACTAACACAAATTAAACAAAACCCACAAATCAAAATACAATCTTAATCTCAAAAAAACCATCTTAATCCAACATTTCATATGCAAATAAACACAAATTTGACCCAGAAACGAAGCAAACAGAATTAGGGTTTAAGAGCAGTAATATTTAATTTACCAGGGGTTTTGACGATCCTGTGCTGGTTGGATTTGGTGGCGTAGCTGTGCCGGGCGCGATACGTGAGACGCTGCACCATTTTTGCAATCGAGTTTCAGCTGCCACTCAGTCTAGGGTTTGTTGAAGATGAAAGGCTTTATACCGAACAATTATTTAATGGATTTGCATAAGATCGGAGGGTTGTCATTAGATCTTTGCGTCATTGCCACCAATGATTTGATGCGATGTCGTTTTAACAAAAAAACTGGACTGCTTGTTAGGCCCACTGTGGTAATGTATTGGGCTAGTTAGGCCCACTAAACCCTTCCGGACTTTGTTTTGGATCAAGTAACTATCTTGCAGATGTTAGGCAACTTAAATCATCGTATCGGTTGATCTAATCGTAGTCAAGTTAGTTATAATAGCGTTTTTCTATTTTGAATTAAGTTTGAATCTCTTTTCCAGTAAAATATCATTTGTGTCAAAATCATTATACCAACAAGTTGCACTACAAGGAATAATTTTGTTTGGGGGCATATACGGTCTTCATTTTTTAGATATGAACTGAATTTGATTCTACATAGATTTGATGGTTAAAAGAAACAAATAAATCGCATTTGTTGGATTAAAGTTATATTTTTGAACCAATCGAACTTGTGTAATGGGATGGTATGAGTCTAGTTTCAAATGTTGATGTCTCATCTTTACATGCGTGTGCATTATGAATAGGTTTGACAAGTACGTTTTAAATTGTTATGATTATGATTAAGTATATAATGACATGCTAATTTCTTGATAATGATGGCCACAGCCGGCCAATTTCTTGACTGCGTATTTTGTTTGTACCCAACTTTACATTATCTTTTACAGTTTTCCTCAAATGAGGAATATCTAAAATTGAGTGTAGATGTGACAAATTCTGAATACCAGATAACACATTTCTCATTCACACACTTAAATATTTGATCGTATATACAAGTCAAATAAATAGGCGTTAACTGTGGTCCCTACAAAGAGCGATAATCATTATTTACGTATCAAATTGCAGAAGGAGAGAAAGCTTGAAGAAATACAAAGAAGTGGAAATTGTGTGGTGAAGAAGTTCAAAAAGCACCAAGAAGGAAGACTTGAGCGTGATTTATTCATTGCTCAAGTTGAATTAAGGTTGATATAAAGAGTGCTAAACTTGTCAAAACTCAAAAGAGAGCCGTTGGTTTTGGTGCCACTTCAAGTGGAGCCCTCGTTTTCGTTCCCATGTTGTTTATGGACATGGATCCTCTCCGGATTCATTGGTCCTAATCTACCAAGTCTCATCATCCGGACCATTGAAATTTGATCCAATGGTTAAAATTATTATAACTTTTAAAGTGAGCTCCTGTTTGTAGCCATTGGATCAAATTGCAATGGTCCAGATGATGGGACTTGATAGATTAGGACCAATGGATCCGGAGAGGATCCATGTCCCTTTTTGACATACTTGAGAGCTCATCGACAGGACTTGCGTTTGAAAACGATCTTCTAAAGAGAGGAGTCCTTGAGAGGGACCACCCTAAGTATGCTATGATTTTATGGAATTATTATTGACATTCCAAAAATCTCATTTTGTACTCTAAACTTTCTATAATTAGAAAGAAAAAAACACTTGTAAGGAGTGTAAAATGAGATTTGTGAAGTGCTAATAACAGTTCTCTATTTTTATATGGGATAATTGGGAACAAACATACTCCACATGTAATAGAACACTATCACATAGTACATCATGTTACAACGAGATTTGAGCAGACGATAATTTATAAGCATGTTGTAAAACACGGCTGAAAGTGTTTCCGGAAACTTTGGAACATTATAAGTAGCAAAACAAGGCCAGTTGCGACAATAGCCTTCGCTCGTCCTTATTTGATTTGCCACTTAAAACTGATTTCATCATATAACAGTATTTTTTTAATAACAATAAAGCTAGTGAATTAAATTGTTAGTTGTTTAAAAAATCGATAAAAATTAAACTCACATCAGAGTGTATAAATATCATTACTTTTTTATTGACGTTACCTGCCGCTCTAAGTGACATTTCACAAACAATTTCGGTCTTCTATTTGTAAAGATTTGGGCCCCAGAAGAATGAAGCCATTGCATTGTCCCAATAAGCCCTCACATATTTGTCAAAATGTCAAAGCATCGCTTCTTTCTTTTTTATTTGTTGCCTAACAAATATTCATGTTCCAACAAAATCAGTTAAAAATCCAAATTAAAATATGAAGAGATCTAAGTCCCAAATAAAGTAAGGAAGAATAAAGAACAAGGACTTAACCTTTGATTCTTGACACGTGTGTACAAATAGGGCGGTGGATCAAATTGATTACAACAAAATTGGATTAGGAGAATCTCAGAGAGAGATGTGTCATCATCACCATCGTTCATCAACATATATATATATATATATATAGCGGATTATAATTTATATATAAATATATTCATCAGCAGCAAAGCAAAGAAGGAAAACAATGCTTGCCGTTCTAAGTAACCAATCAAACAAAGTAAGGGTGGCGTTTGTAGGAGAGATTTTTTAGTGTGATCGACATACAAGATGGTACATCATGTATTACTATACAAATGATGAGATATGTGTGTTAAAAAGTTAATAACTTAAAAAGTAAAACTTTTCACCATTTATATAAAAAAAAGTGATGCATTACTCGTGTTTCCATCACAATAAAAAATTTCTTTATATGTACAGGCTCCTGGGCACCGCTTCCATCACCTAAACCCTAATTTTAATTATTATCTTTTGGATTTAGCCAACCTCTCCTGCTTGGCTTGCCTTAAAAGCCCAGGCAATCATCTTCAGCATTCTAAATTAGACAACTGCATGCGCAGCACGACAACACATCTTTTACACATGTCCCTTCTGGGTTCAAACTTCATACCTAATCCCGGCGTCCGTAGTTTAACATTTTCCTCGTTTTGAAGTCTAAACATCACGGCAAAGCAACGCACGTTACGTTACTTGATTAGAACAATGTGTCGGTTATTTATATTCGCTTTTGTAGAGATGTATCTGAACTTTGATGTGATCTTCCTTTGTTTTAGTACATACATGTTGCTACACCCTAAAACCAGATATGCAAATTCATGTGCAACCGGTGTTTCTCGACATAACGTTACCACAAACGTCATCGAAACGGTGGACCCGTTCTATGCAAGCGGTCTTTCCTTTCTCAGTGATTGAGTGAAATGTGAAGGGAAGACTACGAAAATGAAAGGACCATGCACAACTTTGACACACAGGTGAGGATAATAAGTATGGAAATGGTGGATTTGGTGATGTCAGAAAGGAAGCATTAATATTGTAAGGCCAAAGAACAAGTTTGATGAAGGAGATTATTAATTTTTGTTTGCTGGTCCCAATTCTATCTCAATTTAAAGAGTCACGGGGACTCGGTTCTAGATCTCGACCTGATAATCTTATGCCCTATCTCATGAAGATTAATTACCACTAATCTTTTTTGTTTTGTTTTATCTCCTCCTATACTTAAATTTGTGTTCAATGATTTGGAGGTTCTCCAATAGTATCTCGAACCAATAATAGTATCTAGATACGAATAACATGACCTATCATACCAATAATAGTATAATACAATATGATTGAATAATCATGCTTAGCTACTTAATGATGAGTAGGAACTCCTGCTCAAAACTCTTCAGAGAGTTTTATGTTTATGATTTTGAATCGTTCATATTATGATCACATTGTAAAGATCATTTCTGCAAAAAAAATAAATTAAATCTAAAGTCGTTTAGTCAATCTATTGTAGCATTGTAGCAAATACATAGACGGTTCGTAATGCTTTTACCAATTTCGTTATCTATTTTTTATACAGTTCGATGATTAAACGATCTTAGATTTAGTTGATTTTTAACAAAGACAATATTTATAGAATGACTTAAATATAAACTGTTTTCATTACAAACGCGAAGTTTCATAAATTAGCAACAAGCAAGTTTTTTTAAGTAAAAACTCTAACTCATCCTTTAAATAACCAAATATTATTCAAGTTAAAAATTAGTTCAATAAAATTAGGAATACGGGTGCCCTATGGGACAAACAAGCATGGGGAAGGCTTTGCCTTTAAGCTTAATGGATAATATTAAACATTTAAAGGGAATTTAAAATACCAAACACGAAATTCATGCCACCCAAAAATGGAAATATCAAATATTATAATCGTTAAACCACAAGGAAAAAGACTAATCAGCAGCTAGAAAACAAACAAACATGTCTGCATAAGAAAGCAACTTTATATTACTAATGGAAAGCTAAAAACATCGACTAATTAACTTTGCATTAAGAATAATATCTTTCAGCTAAACATATGATTAACTTTCTCTTTAATCGTTATCCTCTCTAATCCCTTCCTCTCGGCCTCGCCAAAACAGTAGCAGATCGGTCAGTACGCGGTAGCTATTAATTAACGAACGAGCTAGCGAATTAACAAGAGATGTTTATACTAATAAGCGTGATTAATTAACTTTAATATCTCCCAAAAGCTTCCATCTTTCTCTCTGGTTCACGACGAAGACGACGACCCATTGGTGGAAAGGTGGAAACTTGCTCTGCTGCCTTCGTTCAGGGGGTTGGCATTGACATTGTAGCTGGCGATGTGAGCATTCATGGAGTCAAAACCAAGTCTTTCACCATCACCGTTGATCTCACTGACATTTTTGTTCATATTCCCACCGTCGCCTAAGCTGCCGTTTCCGCTGCCCAATCTCTCCAATCTCCTCCGACCGTGCTTGTTATTGTGCATCCAAACCTTGAAAACTCCCCTCCCAATCCCCACCTCGCTGCAGAAATCCTCCACCAGTCTTTCTTCGCTCTTTTGCAATCTCCACCCCACTTTCTCGGCAAAAGACAACATCTTTTCCTTCTGCTCTTGGCTGAACCTTGTTCTGGATCTCTTTTTCTCACCTGGGTACTTCTCCGTTTTCTTCACAGCCGTCGGATTGAGTTGGTGCTGGTGGGGGTGCTCATCAGACGGCCCAGAGAAGCCGGAACTGAGAGCGAGCAGCATTTGCGGCGGGGAAGCGAAATAGGAGGGGGGCAAGTGGGAGACTGGCGGTGGAGACTGCGGGCTCAAAGTTGGGTTGGGGCTCGAGCTCGGGCTGGGGCTTGAGCTGTGGTTGTAGTGAGCTGGTTTCGGCGCCGGTAGCAGGCGGTGGGGGTTGCGAATAACATTACTTTTGGGTCTGTACTGGTCACGGCGGTGGAAGTTGCGGTGACAGCCACAAGCGGCGCATTTTAGCGAGGTCGGGTCAGCTGGGTTGGAGGAGGGGGAAGGCATGAACTCGCCGCAACCGTCGAGAGCATGGCCGCCTAAGCTGGCAGCATGGTTCTTGAGACATTCTTTGTAGGCAACCACCATTGTTGGCGTCGACTGAGGCTGGAACGCGCCGTTGGTGAAGGATAAGGACCTGCTGCTGAAGAAGTTGGATTTGGGGTCCGACGGCGAGGGCGGTTCGGTGTCCGTATCTGGGGTTTGGATGGTGGCGGTGACGGTGGTAAAGTTCATAACTTTAGGCGAGAAGAAGCATAAGAAACTGATTAGGGTTTTGTTCTTAGGGTGTGAAAGCTCAAAGTTGAAAACTTAAATGGGGTTTTGGAGGATGATTGGGGTGATGAAGGATGTAATGAGAAGTGAAGACAAATATATAGATGGGGTGTTTAGTGGGGGCAGAGATATCTGATATGAATTTAATCCAATAATTAGTGGTGTACCTAAACCTGTTTTAGCTCCATAAAAACACAGACCAATATTCTCAACCACCTAATTAAGCTAGGGGAAAAAATCTCTCTCACTTCTTGAAGGGATGGGGGTTTAATCTGAGGTAACGTATGTCAGTCCGTGCCTTCATGTGTTCGTTGAGAGCAATAAATTAGGCTCTCATATAATTCTTTTCATTCTATTCTTTTATTTTTGGAGAAAATTGCATAAATGATATTCCTTTTGACTTTGTCAATTATGTACAATTACTCATGTGAACGGAAGTGACTCTTTACTATAGTGATGGAGAAGAATGTTAGTATAGGACAATGGTGTGGATTTAAACTTCGTCTGCTCTTTTATACAACATCTAATTTAACAAATGTTTCATTTGATTAAAAAAAAAAAAAACTAAAATACGTTTCAAATTAAATACCAAACAACTCTTAAAATACTGGGACCGTTCATCACTCAATAGACATATATTATGTGTTTATACAACTTTTTTCTCCTAAAAAACTCAGAACTCATCAAACCTAGACCATATTAGATTGAAATTACGAAAATAGCTTTTACAAAGTGCACATCTTCTTGTCACGAGCCATTATTCGACGGAAATGAGAATGAATAGAAGCAGACATATCACATATGTGCTCGAATACAATTCAAAATTTGAGTGGTCAACTGTAAATTTCTTTAGTCTAGGTGATAATTTGATAAATTGGAAAAAATTCATATACCATTGTGCAAATTTTCTTTGTTCTTATAAAAGTTTGGAATTTGGAATATATATTCGTAGGAGTCAGCGATTCAAATTTTGGACACCTGCCACCCAACGAAACGTGTACGTGTCATGCGAGTGAGGTTGCACGCATAAGATTCGCAGTTCAAATAGTACATGGGTTTTCAGCACACAGCTAGCTCCCAGTGCCTCCTGGTGCGCATCGTTTTGCTTTGCCTGTGGCCCTGTGGCCCTGTGGCAGTGGGGATTCCCTCCTCTTCTGTGTTGTACCAAACTAATCCAATTTTTGAATACTTTCTTCGCCTTTTGTCTTGGTGTAAATCAAAATTTGAAAGTTTATTAGGACTTTGAAATGAATTATTGAGTTGAATAATGTTTAACTACTCAGAGATAAGTATAATTTTGTACTTAAAACTCTTCGTATTTGAATTACAGAGCTTTGTACTTATTATTAGAATCGTTCAAATTACGAGTCACTCTGTAAAGATCATCTCAGCAAAAAATGAATTAAAACTAAAGTCGTTTGGTTAATCTATTGTATCAAATACATAGACGGTTATTGTCACATCTTGGCCTGGGCCCCCACCGCATCCTGGGCTCGACTTCGCCGTAGCACGATATTATCCGCTTTGGGCCCCGACTACGCCCTCATGGTTTTGTTTTTGGGAACTCACACGAGAACTTCCCAGTGGGTCACCCATCATGGGATTGCTCTCGTGCGAACTCGCTTAACTTCAGAGTTTCGATGGAACCCGAAGCCAGTGAGTTTCCAAAATGCCTCGTGCTAGGTAGATATGAGAATATACATATAAGGCTTACATGATCCACTCCCCTGGACAATGTGGGATGTTGTCCACCCCCTTAGGGGCCCCGACGTCATCATCAGCACACTTCCGGTCAGGGATTGGTTCTGATACCAAATTGTCACATCCTGGCCCGAGCCCCTACCACATCCTGGGCTCGACTCCACCGTAACACGATATTGTCCGTTTTGGGCCCTGACCACGCCCTCACGATTTTGTTTCTGGGAACTCATACGAGAACTTCTCAGTGGGTCACCCATCATGGGACTCGCTTAACTTCGGAGTTTTGATGGAACCCGAAGCCGGTGAGCTCCCAAAATGTCTCTTCCTAGGTAGAGATGAGAATATACATAAAAGGCTTACAACTGGGCGATGTGGGATGTTACAGTTGTAATGTTTTTATCAATTCTATACATATGCTTTTATATACTTAGATAATTAAACGACCTTAGTTTTAATTGATTTTTTACATAATCTATCTTTATATAGTGATTTATAATGTGAACGATTATGAAGTTCCGTGAATTGATAACGAACATCAAATGCACAAGAGTTTCAAAGCAATAGCATGCAATGCCATGTATTACTACAGCATTAAACAATATACATAGTGATACATGGCTGAGGAGCGGCCCTTACTAGGTAGGCAGCCACAGGTGGTAACACACTTTTCGCACAACGAATCCATTTCTCCTCGATCACCATTTCTTCCTTAAATCGGAACTGGTCATCAAGATTCAAGAGAGATGAAACCATGCCACATTTTATAAAACGTTAGGCAAAAACCACCAATCAGAGGAATGGAATTTTTGTTACCACAAATCCCCAATTTGCTCTCTTTAAATCAGGGCTTAAGACACGAACAAATAACTTATGAAAAACAAGAAATTTAACTTTGATGCACACATGTCAAATGTGATTGATAAGTAAGTAAGAAGGAGTATTCCAACGAAAGAAGTCAAGTATATACTTTCTAAATACATAAAATAAATATAAAATAAATGTTAAGAGGACTCTCTCAAAAGTGGTAACTCTCTGTCATCTCATGTTTTTTGCACAATGCTTTGTAACATCGGTACGAGAATTGACGTTAAACTGTGATGTCACAAAGAGTACATGAAGAAAGCCTTCTTAGCATTTCTCAAAATATAAATTTGATGCCCACTTATATTATAAGCAAAAAAGGCTAAGGAGACTATTTCAAAAGTGTGACTGTCTGTGAATTCTTTGCCACCTTATGTTTTGACACGATATTTTATAATATTGACATGAAAATTAACGTTAAAATATGAGGTAACAGAAAATCCATAAAGAATCTCAATTTAAAGGAGTTTCCTCAGCATTTGTCATTATAACATATTGGTAATACAGAACACCAACTGCTAACAACTGTTACGGTTGAAAAACATAAGAAAGCCTTGAATTAATTGAGTTGAAATTAGAGGCCACAATTTGTCAACTAAACTTATGAGTCCATCCCTCCATCAAATATTAATGATGATGATGATGATGATGATTATGGCAAATTGACATCATCTTTAGGTTAACTGGATCTTCCAGTAACAAATACAGGCTGCTTGACTAGTAAGAAAAACAAGTCATCACCAGAAAATTAAAGAAAAAAGTGTTTTCAATCAAAAGTTAAATTTTAATCAAAAGTTAAAGGAGTATGATTCTCTATTATCTAAATCTCCCTTTCTCTCTCATTCATTCTCACTTTCCTCTTGGGTTTTGTTTTTCTTTTTAAAAAAAAAATCAACACAAAACGATGTTGACGTGACTTAATATGATTGTTTAAATAAGATGAGAATGAACGAAAGAAAAATTGAAAAAAAGAGAATCCCACTCTACAATTAAAACGCATGTCGGTTTCTGGTCCTATCCTCAGTTATCTTCTCAATGATCCATCCACGCGTTGCAATGAACAGAACGTAGCAAGAAATGCGGCCACGCCCACACACACGCCATGTTTTATATTAATCATGGCAACAGCATTTGGATTAGATATTAGTCATCTCAAAACGAAAACAAAAGGCACACAACGTTGGAGTAATCCTCCTCCTAATCTCTCCATCCATTGCTTCAGATGTGATGTTTCCTTGTCGTTTATGTTTATAAACCTCAATTATGCTTTTGTTAGAATCCAAGAAATTAGAAAATAAGATCACAATGGGGTCTCAACTTTCTTCCCAAATCCTATTAAGAAGGATGGTCGGACGTGATTTCAGCTATTGATACCTTATAGCTTGTAGACCTCACATATACAAACGGTCACAATTAGCTCATACACATGTGTCCGATAAATTCTAAACACATAAATGATTGACCATAACACAGTTTATTTCATATTAAAGTAGAAAAGTTAATTCGTTTTTAAAATACAAAATTATTATTCAAAAGAATATATCCGCTCTAACCATTGCATGTCAACGTAAAAAAGAACGGAGATTAGTTGGAATCGAAAAAAATAGTGATTAGTGACTTGTATGCTCAACTAGAAACCTAGCTAGCTACTTGGGTATAGGCCATTGAAAAAGAAGGGCTTTAGGAAATTTTTTTTTCCCGAAGATAAAATAAGGGCTTTAGGAATCGAGGGAGTAAAAAATTGTCCATACAATGTTCTGACAATTCTGTCATTCTCCAACAGCACGCGCAATGAGCAAATTGACATAAACGGTAAGGGGCAACAGAATTGGATAAACTCACCCCACTTAGATCATCTCTAACACTTAGTTTAAAATCTAAAATTTCTTTTGTTAGCTTAACATTAAGTTGGTGTATTGTTTGCTTATGTGTTGTTTTACATGTATGTTCCAGAGGTGAAAATGGAGCGCTACGTGTTGGAGTAAGGAGACTCATGAGACAACCAAGCAATATGCCGTCTTCTGCTATTTCTAGTCATTTTTGCTTGCTGCTGTCGTTGTGTCCTTGCAATTTCAATATTTCTGTTTGCTTGCCACTGTTGCTGTTGCTGCCAATACCAGGAGACTAATGCTGCTTGAGTAATTGAGTTCTTCATTTTTTTGTTTGTTGACTAACTGACCAATGCATATTTCTGTTAGTTGTCTCTTTTTATTCACTTGGTGCCACTGCCAAAGACATTTGCATTAAAAAAGATGTATTGTATGCAACTTATATAATCAGTTTTAGAAGATGTATTTGAATGTATGATGATGTGGTGTTCAAATAATTTAGTATTCGGAACCGTAAACCGGCAAGAACCGAATCGGAACCGGTGTAAACCGAACCGTAAGGTTCTAGTAATAAATTTAAACGGAACCGTACCGAACCGAACCGTTGATATTTTCCGGTTCCAGTTCCATTTTAGGGGT